CCCCCAAAGCAGTACGCAGGGAGAATGAGTAATATCCACCCTCATTTCATTCCCCGTGCTTCTAATCTATATTAATTTTCGAGTTGATGGACTTTTGAAAATGGTTACATTTTGTTTTGAATATGTGAATGATTTCCAGCTTATTTCTTTACTTCAATAATTGTAAAGGAGACTTCAATTTTGTGATCTTGATTTCAGTGTTGCAGATGATATTCATGCTGATGGTTTATCACAGCAGTGTGTCTTCTCTTTAACGCAGACAATAATAAATATAGTTTTGGCTTGAGGAAAGCTATTCTTTTTCTTGTCTCTGTAGAAATACTGCAGCACAGTCCAGCTTGATTCTGGAATAGACTACAGGAAACGAGTGCTTCCTGCTGCTGGAAAACTCTACTACCTGTAAGTTTATCTATGATATGGTATTTGCCCTCTTTTTCCTTCTTATTAGCCAATAATTTCCTAGTCAATGGGAAATGAAAAATGTATAGCAGAATTAGCAGAGTGTGACTTTCCCTTTCTTTGCCTTCTGGTCCATTTTGTTCAGCAAACCGCCTTCCATTATGCCTTGATATTAACTTCATTAAACTACATTTTCAGTATCCACACTAGCATCATTTATAATGTGTGACTGAATAAAAACTAATTAGATTTTTTGGGGAGGTGTGGTGTTTGGAGAACTGAAGTGACAGATGGTTAGAAAGTAATGAATATCCTCTTGTAAGAGATTGCACAATTCTCTTATAATAGAAGAACATCCTTATTGTATTTAAGTAATTAAGTATTTATAGAAATCCAGTGACAAGGATTCATTTAATGTTGGGTGTTTCCAATGCTGTGGATTAAAAAAACCCAACACCCTCCTATTTTGACAGATTGTTTCTGTTTATCATGACAAAATATCTTTAGCACTTTATTCTATATTTGCAAATAAATATATGTAAAAATACATTCACATTTGTTCTTATGGTTGCAGCGTGTATCTGCCTAATAGGAACAGCCTCTTTTTTTTTTCTTTAAAATACTTTGAAATCTTTGCATTGTAGACATTTTTCTATCTCATATTTGCTCTTATAATATTTTTAAATCAAAGACAACCTGAGCAAGACAACAGTAACTTAAAATGAGATTTATAACCATTGTATATTTCAACCCAAGATACAATATTGATTTAAATACAATGCTTCCATTAAGACAGGTGCAGTATTTTCATCAGTGTGGCAGATATTTGAAGCTAAGTATGTCTATCGCTTCGTAAAGTCAGTTGTAGTTGTTTGTCTGGAAGGAGGAGCATGGCTTAGTAGAATTACAACAGGTAACTCTTTCTGCTTCTGGAAAGAAATGACAGAATTTTATGTATGGAAAATGGGTCAAATGCAGGTTCTGTATCTGTACTCAAGAAGACTAACCCTCGTTCTGTATTCTTGCCTGGCTCCACTTTCTTGTATGTTTGGCGGTGTCTGCTTGGCAGTACTGTCTGAAGCCCCCACTGTTACCTCAGAACTGCTCATCGAGGTTCTTGTCCTGATGTCTGTGAAGCTGTCACTGCTCATGGCTCCGCTTACTGTGCCTGCTGCACTCTGTGACTTTCTGTTTGATAATTGTGGAGAGCCCCTACCACATTCTTTCTTTGCTGTCCATACTCTGAGGAAAGGAAGAACATGTATGTGGTTTCTAGCAGGTGATAGGCCAAACATGGTGCCTATGGCACCAGCTCTCAGAGGAGAAGAAATATGAACAAGCCCCAGGAGTAGTACCCAGCCAAAGTATTTCATGGTGTTCTGTTGTAAAACTCATGATCAAGTGAATGGCAGAGATTGGTGATAAGTCTGTCTCCTGTTCTCTCATTGGAGGGGTGTTGCTTACCCCTAAAACTTGTCATTAGGAAGTGTGTGTGTGTGTAGGTTTAAAAAAAAATCCTGTAGCTGCCAATGGAAATAAGATACTTATTTCATTGTCCTTTCTTTTTCTGAGGGAATCTCATTCATTCTTCAATTCAAGCTTGTTCATTGGAGCTTTCAACCCTGCAGAACTAGTACAGCATGTGGGGATTTTATTGTTTTGTTTTAAAATTAAGTACTATGTGGTATTTTGCTACAGATTTTTGAAATTTATTTAGCAGTCTTGCCCCCAAAAGAAAATGTTCTTGTCCAGCATGTTTACATTCCCTATTAATGTGTCATCATCACATTTTTATTTTTTTTTAAATCCTCTTGATGCTTTATAATTTGTGTGGTCTTCTCTTCATTTAAAATATGCAACTAATGGTTGCTTAAAGCTGTTTCAATACTCATCTGAAAGCAATCAGCGTAACACAATTACAAGATTCCTGATCAAAGTGACTTCCTTGATCTCAGTTTCAGGTGTCTATTTTCAAAACGAACTTTCTTGGCAATTAGGTGCAAATATCCACCTAGGCATCACAGTCGGCTGTTTCTTCTTGTAGCCTCTATATCAAACTTTTTAATAGTTATGTGCATACACGTGTGCATACTCTCCAATG